TGGGGAGACCTAGACGTAGATGGGAGGATAATCTCAGGCGGGATCTATGGGAGATAGGAGTTGAAGGAGACTGGATTTTGTTGGTCCGGTGGAGGGCTTTGGTTGGTTCGGTGATGAACCTTCGGGTTCGGTAAGCCATCTGGTTGATTGGGTCCACTATTTGGAAAGCCTGAGGGGAAGAGACCGCTGGGGAGACCTAGACGTAGATGGGAGGATAATGTCAGGCGGGGTCTATGGGAGATAGGAGTTGAAGGAGACTGGAGTTTGTTGGCCCAGGACAGGGTCTGGTGGAGGGCTTTGGTTAATTCGGTGATGAACCTTCGGGTTCGGTAAGCCATCTAGTTAGTTAGATGAGGGGATAATATTAGAATTGATCTCAAGGAGATAGCTACTTTGTGAACTGCATCCAATTGGCTCAGAATATGAATCGTATGTTGGCTTGCTGTATTTTATGTATTAGCTGGTCATTTTATTCATATAATATCTTTATACTTTTGTAAGGCTTAAATTTGCCGGAGGCAAACAACAAAGGTTTTCACCTCCCAATCAGAAGTTATACGCTTTGCCAAGATATCTGTCTTCTGGGATGTAGCGCGATATATTCTATTTGAAATTTACCGACGTTTCAGAGGTAGTTGCTGCCTCAATCATCAGGGCGATGAGACTAATTACCGTTGCCCTAACCTGCCACGTTATCAGGCGTTATGTTACAGGGTGTGGTTGTTAAGTCAAGATGTTATTCTGTTTTCCTTGCTTTCCTCCGTGTTGATATGCTCCGTAGAATGTAACGCCCAATATAAACAGTGGTTTATCTCCAGTAAAGTCTTTATTTAGTTTGAACGTAGCCTACTTAAGCAGGTCATCTGGACGCCACGTGCTTAGCATATTCGATAAGAATGAGCTTCTAAATTTAAAAAACAAAAATACACCAAGCCGTTTTTATAACAATTTGTTTTTGAATTTATTGTCTCGTATATTATTAATAATAATTTGCAAATGATAATTTTACCAGGGACTTTGTATTAGTCATTGAACCTGACGGAACAGCACATTAATGAGTACTACCTAGAAAAGAATTGTAGTCCGCCCTTGATATTTGCGGGGTTTACGTTCTTGAAAAATGAGGTTAAGGTAACCAAAGACACGCGATATGTATAATTAATAATAAATTAACATGAAAATATTAGTGTTGGTGTATTGTGGGATGACATCGGCGTTCTTGGCTGAGTGTTTTGAGGGCGATCGAACACAAGGACAACAATCAGTTAAAAGAATTGTGAGAAGTCAGATGCTAGGAGCTATGTATTAATCCGCGCGCCTGCGCAAAGGAGACAGAGTAAGAGTGGGGGACCTACGTAGCGATTCACAGACATTACGTGAATAAGCAAAACACTGGATTTCCGTTGCTTTTCTCACTTCGCTGAAAACAATTCAGGGATTTCGCTTTAAAGCAAGTTACAACCACTTTCTTCCGGAATTAACATTCATATTTCCAGACAACTTATAGGACGTTACATAACCTCGGAGTATGATATAGGAACATAAAATGAGTTTAATAACCCTCAACGGATTACGTTATTTGGCGTCTTGGGAACCAGAAACGATTCTGTAACTGTGAATCGCGAGACATCTGGTACGGTGACTAACAAGGCATACACAGAATAGCTGTCAGACTTTGCGAGAGTTTCAAGGTCTGAACAGTAATAATTGGATTTATTAAATTGCTTTCCAGCAGCAAAACGAGAGAAATAGACAATTAAACCTTTTTCTCCTGTTGACGATAATCCACGTCGATAACTTCGTAGTATCCACACGCCGTCTTCTGAAACGTAAAATGAACAAAACGTCATGGTGAATTGGGTCTATTTTAAAAGTCCGTAGTTCAACTCGAAGGACGGTTATTTTGAGATTCTCATCTGTTTCAGTCCTGCCACTAAACTAAGAAACAAATACAAAAGAAAGTTTGTACCAGCTCATAGTTGCTGACATTAAAAGCCTGGTCTGTCATGTATTCCAACGCCATCATTTTAGGACTCGACCCAGATCATCGTCATCATATTACAATGATTTAAATTCTATTTTATTCGTAAAACCTTCACCGCTGTTCTTATGGTTCGAAGATTCATACATAATTAATGAATTACTGAAGGCAACAGAATTTATGATGGTTACGAAGAAGACAATGTTGCCCTTGCCTCTTTCCACTTCTTATTCTGCTCGACACTAGCTCATTTTTCACCCAGGGAGCACCTGACGCAAACCGCGATTTCATTGCAATCTATTCATGCACACACCCCCCCTTCATAACACCCCCACAGACTTGCTACCGTCCAGTCCTAAACAAAAGCACACCACGCATTCACCCCACGAAACCTGTTATTTATCCCTGATTCATATCACACGCACATACAGACAGAATTACTTTCACTTTAAGATAATTTATCCTTTGTCCTTGTAATCCTGGGGTCTCGGGTTCGATTCCCGGCGGTGCCCGAATTTTTAACTTGTGTTGGGCAAGGCCGTGGTTTAGGCAACACGGAGTTTTCCTCCGTTGCATCCCAACAATTACTCCATTCACACAGAGAAGAAGGCAATGGCAAACCACTTTTGGATCATCTGCCAAGAACGTATATGAACAGGTCCCAGTCCGAGAAAAGGATGGAAGGATCCTGTTCATATGGACCTGTCGTCAGACAGAACACTAAATAAATAATAAAATACCACAGACCCATCTTAAGCGTAACTAATTCAAGTTAAATAAGCAATGTCTTAATCAAACTTTACTCAATTTTAAAGCATGTATAAAGGAAATATTTAAAAATAAAGCCAAAATATAAATTTCCTTTCCGTATAGACGTATTTACGTCAAATTCTCCGGAACCGTGGTTCCACTGACAACTTTTTATTTGGTTTGTTGACAGGCGTAATCGGCGAAGCCAGCCGATGAGTCGGTCAGTCCGTCGGAATCTCTGTGTTTAAATGCCCGATCTGATTGCACCTGGAATTAATGTCTGTCCATACTCCGAGCTCTATGTATATTGCATTCTCTTATCTCTTCATCTGCCGTAATTATTCTCCTCTCCTGTAAATACTCAGTGTATGATACATTACGTCACAGGCGCCTCTCGTACCGAGAGAGAGAGAGTCTCACCTTGTCCCAAACTCCTATATCGATCTTGCTACGTGTTCCTGTCTCCATGGTTACAGATAATCTTTTACTTTTCTCTCCGATCTTTTATTTCATCTTGTGAAGCAGGACCATTTTTCTTACTGATTATTTTCTCACAGAATCCGAACAGAGGTAAAGATTTCCTCACGGGATTACAATAAGTCTTAAATCGATATCAGATTCCATAAATAGCTGGTTATCTCCCTTTCAAAAATTTGTGATAAATGTTATTCAAGAATGAAAGTACAAAACGCCATATTTTTTACCATAAATTATCGATTCTTTACAATAAATCGTAAAAAAAATATTTTTAACTTCCTAAATTACAATTGTAACTTTATTTAAATGCTATATTAAAGCTGATGATGATATCTTTACCACAGTGTTACCACAATATAAAATTAAACTTTCGCTAGCAATGCATAGAAAATACCATTGAATTTCTGATATTTAATGTGAATCCCGTATTTACACAATGTACCGATTAAAACACAGTGTAACAACAATTACGTATTATTATTATTTAGTGTTCTGTCTGACGACAGGTCCATATGAACAGGATCCTTCCATCCTTTTCTCGGACTGGGACCTGTTCATATACGTTCTTGGCAGATGATCCAGAAGTGGTTTGCCATTGCCTTCTTCTGGGTGTGAATGGAGTAATTGTTGGGATGCCAATGAGGAAAACTCCGTGTTGCCTAGGCCACGGCCTTGCCCAACACAAGTTATAAATTCGGGCACCGCCGGTAATCGAACCCGAGACCCCAGGATTACAAGGCCAGCCTTCTAACCGCTAGACCACCGTGGCACGGTGAAGGGATTATTATGCAATAGTTATTCTATTTCTGTCAAACTGTTATGAGGTCCGGGTTAGCTCAGTCTGTACAGTGAGTGACTACGTACTGGACGACCGGAGTTCGATCCCCGACGGGGGCAGAGGATTTTCTTCTAGCCTTTGTGTCAAGATCACGCCATTGTTCAGATAAGTTTCGTAGTATTTCCAGTTTCTTCGCTGGGTTTTGTATTTTGTTGTAAAATGTTTCGAATAAGTCTGTTTATCTTTGTCGTAGAAACTCACACTTTGTGTGACGTAC